GGACTCGCCTTAGTGTTCTTGTCCCAGCCCTGCCTGTGTCTGGGTCTCGGCTCTTGCTCTGAGCAGGTGCGTGTAATGAGGTCGAGTTCCTTGTGCACAGACAGCTAGGAGTACTGGTAACCAGTTGAAGCTTTGGTTTGAGAGATTTGAACCCGTCTTGGGGGGAGCTCCCCATGGAGAGGTTTGCCGTAGACACTGGCTGTGCATGGGTGACGGCACAGGTCTGTCGCTGGCCTCGCCAGGCAGCCCTCCTGCTCCTGGTGTAAAGCAGAGGTGCCGCAGGCTGTAGAGACCTGGGTCCGTGGGTGAGTGAGATCCTGTAGGAAAGCACCGTAGACAAAGCGCGTCACCCACACCCTCCCCAGAGCTGGAGGAGAGACTTACCTGCCTGGGGGGTTGAAGGAAGACTGGCTTGGCCTGGGGTGGTCACTGCTGGGAGCCCGCCTGGCTGCGGGACTGCTTCCCACCTGGGCCCTGGGCTGCGGGAAGTGACCCCTGCAGGCACGTTGCCCAGTGGCCATCCTGGCTGTCCTTTTCCCCACCATGCCCCCCTCAGAGGCATCTCCCTGGCTTCCCTGCCTGGCGCTGTTTGCCACGCCTCCTTGCAGGCCCCCATGAAGGGTGAGTGAGCGCCCGCTGCTCCAGATCTCCTCTGCGCTGGCCCCAGGCTGGACTTGAGTCGGTCTCCTGCTGCCTGCGGGGTGCACCTGTCCACCTCCCCTCGAGGTATCACAGTGTCTCGAAAACAGGGACCAAGTGTCTTTTCTATCCTCTTGAGAGCTGAGTGTGCTGCCGCCTTGTCTTCAGTAGGGTGTTAATAACTGAGGAAGGTGATGTGGAAGAATTTACCTGATACTTCTTATAAAGAGTTGGTCTTTGGGAAAATTCTAGAGCCAAGTGGTCTGGAGTATATGCCTTTAGACTGAACAGTGTATCTGATGATATTTTTAAGTTCTATTTTCAGTCTGGGTGTGGTGGCTCACACCTGTAGTCCCAGCTCTTTGGGAGGCCGAGGTGGGCGGATCGTCTGAGGTCAGGAGTGTGAGACCAGCCTGGCCAACATGATGAAACCCCGTCTCTACTAAAAATACAGAAATTAGCCAGGCGTGATGGCGGGTGCCTGTCATCCCAGCTACTCGGGAGGCTGAGGCAGGAGAATGTGTGACAAGAGTGAAAGTCCGTCTCAAAACACAAACAAACAAAAACAAAGTTCTATTTTCAGATGTTGTGATAAATAACCTACAGCTTTCTGTTAAATGTTACTCATTCTGATGAGTGAAAAGTTCAGAATGGTTGTTGGTAGGGAGTCTTCCAAGATCCTTTCCAGGGGTCTTCAGTGGGATTGGGAAAATATTATTTCTTGAGGCAGGTTGTGGTAAAAGATATTTGTTTTAATTGTTTTTAGTAATTTATGTATATGTTTTCATATTTAGTATTTGGTCAGACTCCAAGCGACTGGATTCATGGCCATTGTGAGTGTGCACTTTGCAGTGGGAGAGCTCGCTGCATCTGTGGCGGCTCAGATGGCCTGGCACGGTCGTTTGTTTTTTGAGACAGGGTCTTGCTCTGTCACCCAGGCTGGAGTGCGGTGGCGCAATCATGGCTCACTGCAACTTCGACCTCCCGCCTCAGCCTCCCGAGTAGCTGGGACCACAGGCGTGCACCGTTGGGCCCGGCTCTGAGTGTTTGGATTTAGAAATGGTTTCCTCTTGTCTCAGGCGGGAACCACTCCGGCTCATCGCTGAAGTGACCTCAGCAAATGAAGTGTTGGTGACCTCGAACAGCACACCATTAGTCTTTGTCTCTGATAACTTCAGGGAAAAATTGGCGAAAGTGCAGGATCTTTCATGCAGGATGCTGTCCCTCCCAGTCCAGTTGAGCTTTCCCGAAGAAGCTGTGAATGTCGCCCCTGTCTGACGCTCACATGTGTGTTTCTCCCCTTTGCTTCTCTGCTGGCTCAGAGGATAGGAGACGCCGTGAGCGGGACGACCAGATGTACCGAGAGCGGCTGCGCACCTTGCTGGTCATTGCAGTTGTCATGAGCCTCCTGAATGCTCTCAGCACCGGTGGAGGCAGCATTTCCTGGAACGACTTTGTCCACGAGATGCTGGCCAAGGGTGAGGTGCAGCGTGTCCAGGTGGTGCCTGAGAGCGACATGGTGGAAGTCTACCTGCACCCTGGAGCCGTGGTGTTTGGGCGGCCTGTGAGTGAGGGTGTGGGTGCAGGCTGGCAGCCTGTGAG